TGTATAAAATCATGCATTGGATGGAAGACTCTGTCTCCAAAGAGCTGATTGGAATGAGATTTAGAACAGGCAATAGAAAGTGCTTCTTCACATTGTGCATAATTTATTTGCGAAAATCTTTACCAAAAAGTGGTGATAGCTACTAACTTGGATGGCTTTGAAAGGGGATTGGATGAATTCATGGAGCACAAGTCTGTCATGTTAGCTCCAAGTTGGGGGGCAGCATATTGTCAAATATCATTTGCAGGAGAACAGTGGCTGGACAGGAGCACCCCAAGGTATATGGTTGGCTATTGTAAGAAACAAAATTGTAGGCTTTGACCTGATCCAGCTAAGTCTGGATCTAGCTCTTATTTTATTTGATTAGTTGCTGAACTGTATATACAATGCTGATGGATGTGCAGAAAATATTTACTTCAAAGAACTTTCATAATTTCCTTTAGAGAGTGTTAGAACATATAGTATCAGTATCTTCAAGGTCAGAGTAGCCTGGCAAATGTATTTTGTTCCTGTGATCAGTATATAATAAACTAAACATGTGAGCAGCAGAAAGTCAATATTATATGTTTATTTTTTTAAATTTATTCCGCTTTTATATTGCTTAATCAACTACAGATTCATGGAGGCTTACAATAGCAATCAGCAATAAAAATAATCACAGAACAGAATAAAATACCCATGGTAAAGTCTAAAACAAAAATAGAAATAACTAACATTCTAATCAAATTGCAAAAAATACACAAGGTAATTATAAAGTACAATATAATACTATTTCTAATAGTAGTAAATTTGGAAAATGGGGGGGAATAGAGCAGCTATTTTCATACTGATAACACAAGAGGGTCCTGAAAAATCCATATCTTCTTGCAGTTTAGAGATCTGCTAATTATACAATAATTCCTTAATTTAGGAATAAAACAAAATCATATGTAAGAATTGCTTTGATAGATCAGATCCATCTAATTCAGCATTCAGTTTTTAATACAATCACAAATAGGGTACAAAGGGTACTTCAATTGTTTATTCCAACATCAAATATTCAGGGATCTCTCTCATCTGAATTTTTATCTATTTCTAATACTGGACTCACATTGCCAAAATGCTAACACTGCATATTGCACATACATGCAGACTGGAGATAACCTTGAAATTTGCAGTATGAAAATAGTGAAAAAAGTTATAAAGGAATGGAACATTAAAAAGCCCAATGAAAATTGTCTACAGAATGCTTATGCTCAAAAAATGGATTTACGAGCAGTCCTCACATTTACGACTGTTGCAGTGTTCCCGTGGTCATGTGCTTGCGATTCAGGCACTTGGCAACTGCCGTGCTTTTATGATGGTTGCAGGATCCCGTGGTCATGTGGCAGTGGCATGTTTTGCCTACATGGGGCCTTAGGCAAAATAAAGAACTGAAAGAGGAGCTGGTTAAAGTGGCTCAGCCTTCCTCTACATGGAGCCCTCCAGGATGCCAGCCTCCCCAGCCAGGAGGCGGCCCTTGCGGCCCTCCTGTCCAGAAGGCACCAAGCTGAGACAGCCAAGACTTGGAGGACACCTGGGAGGGAGAGAGAAAGGTGGTGGGAGCTGAGGGCCCTGCAGGGGTCCCAGATGGAGGAGGTGGCACTCACGAAGCAAGCAGGCAAGGCGGGCATCCCTCCAGGGAGGGCTCTGCATGATGCTTTCAGAGGAATCACTGAGCCAGAAGAAGCCAACTTGCTGCTTCTGCCCTGCATGAACTGCCTCTGCTTCAACTACTTCCACCTACCTATCTCACTCCCCCATCTCAGCCCTTTTGGCCACCCTGCACAGTATGGCTGAGATGAAGATGCCACTGTATGCCACCACTGCCCCCAGCAGACCTTTCTCCCTGTCCTCTTTCTCAGTGCTGTCATCATCATCTTCCTTCTCTTCCTCCTCCTAGGCATCTACCTCACCCACCCCTCCGCTGGGCTCGCCAGTGCTGGCTGCCTTGAGCCCTCAGCGCAGGGACTCTTTTGGTGCTGCTCGCCCCTTCCTCTTGTTGTCTATCCCTACAGGGAGTCCTCTGTATGACCTCTAGCCAGAAGATGGACATCCTGCCAGGCAGCTCTGCCAAAAGCCAGGGAGGCAGATGACAAGGAAGCAGAGGCAGTGAGGGGCAGCCTACAGAGGTGCTGTGTTTTCCTTAAGGTTTTACATGGCCAGTCATTGTATTGTCTTCCCCCATGAAGTTTCTCCCAGAGGCCCAGATCCTCCTCTGACTGTAAACATCTTCCTCTGATCTGTGGAGAGTCCAGACAAAGTAGGAAGCTTCTGTGTCCTTGTTGCATTGCATACTCAGAAAAGCAGTGTAGGCATGCCATCACAGTGAACATGGGCAGGAAGGTCTTCCTTGAGACATCGATTATAGTAGCAGAAGGTAGGGGAGGGTTGCAGTTGCATAAGACCAGTAAGGTAGCCAGAGCCAGAAGACCCATCTGTGTGAAGTTCCTGTTGGGATGGGAATAAAACTCTTGCTTTAGGCAAGAAGTGGCTTTTCTCAGCTAAAGGATGCCCCCCCCCCGCCCGGCACTTTATACAGGCACATTTTTGGTCATTTTAGTTTTTTGTTATTTCTGTAACATAAAACTAAAATGACCAAAAATATGCCTGTATAAAGTGCCGGGCGGGGGAGGCATCCTTTAGCTGTCAGCTAGAAACAATGGCTGAGTTCCTACATCATGCTAAGCCATTTTTCCCTATGGCTTACTGAGTAAGACATAATTAGTTAGGCCATTAACCATAAACTATGGCAATATTTGAATCATCTTCAAGATTCTGGGGTTCAAATAATCCCCCTGTTTATTTAATTAAAGTAGTTTATTCAATGTAAAAGGTCAAAATGAAGGAAAGTCAGCTAGGGCAAATTTAAAATGACATCGCTAATTAACAACAATGAGAAAAAACCAGCATTTTTCAGTGGGGCATAGAAGCAGAAGTTGAGAAAACAACATGAAACAATAGCAGCAAAACTCCCCAAGATTACTTTGTTATTTCAAAGACTGAGGAGAATGTAGAAGATCCAAGAAGAAAGCTAATAATTATAATAGTCATGAATAAAATAAAGCACAACATTCACAAGGTATTATCTTGACATTTCAAGATTTTCCTACAAAGCAAGGGACCCCTTGAGTCACAAGGAATCACTGAGTGCACAGTCTATTATTAAGTGCATGCCCCAATCAGTGAAGAGGCCAAAAGGGCATCTGACAACACTTCCCTTCCCACAACAGCCTCTTGGGCATTTCCTGCAGACAGAGCTCACTTTAATGAATCCCTGAGTGCTGATAAAATTTTTAATTAGGACCATTTCCAAAGGTCTATAATAATATAAATATTTTAGAAACTTATTATACAGCCATCTGTAAACCTGGTGTGCAAATCCAATGAGAATAGTTTTTATACTCCAACTTTAAATCTACTGCCAGATATATTGGCTTTCTTCAGCTGAATCATTACGGACCAATACTTGTGACTGGCCTTGCTTTAAAATAAAATTATGTTTCATGAAGACCCAGATACCCACCACCAATGCTGCATGATTCTTGGGTGGTGGTGCTCACAGAACCATTGACACAGAATCTAGAAATGGCTTTACAAAGCAAGCCAAACTTTTGGATTGAGTGCTTGATAGAATTATCAATATAACACTGACCTTGCTCCCTCTAACCCACTGTTTAGAAGTTGCAGTGAGTATTGTTTGTGTTTAGATGGTGGATCTCATTGACATTTTCTCTCTAATATCAACCTTGCAATATGATCTTATGCTGGACAGGTTGCTGAATATGAAGGATAGAACAATGAAGTAAATGCCTGAGTCCCAACCTACAAATGAACAGGTCCACATTCATTCTAACTATGTCAAGGATGCAATTATAGAAGATACAGAGAAAATTCTATTTCTGTCTGAAATTATAGATACAACCCAAAATATTGATAAGAAAGATCACCTTAGCCAAGTGATTCGCTATAGATTTATGTCTGAGCATAAAAATTCAAGAATCCTTCTGGGGCTTTTTCTAAGTAGAAG